ATGAGGTTTCAAAAAAGTGAACTCAACCATTTGAATGTAAAACCACTTGAAATCTAATCGATTCAGGAAATAACTTGTATGTATCAATGACCTCTTAAATTAATGAGTAATGAAATTTAATCACATTCCGCCTTGCTGAATCGACTATAATCAAGAGAACCTAACCTGACCTCTGTGTGTATGATGAGACTACAATTAGCATGACATTAGCATAATAATAATGCTTTGACGCAATTAACAACGTGACTTCTTTATAAATCTCGTTTACACTCCTATGTCAATTCAGTCAACTTTCTTTACTTATCATCATGCGTAATATTCATGTATTTTCTTCTAGTATATATCTGAAATCTCAACTGTTTATAAATTGATATTTTATTCCTTTATCTTTGTTAGTGCATGACTTATAATTCACCAAGGATGATAAACGACAGAAAGGTCAGAGGTCAAGCAGACGGACAGCCAACAGGAAAATTTATACAGTCAATGACACCACAATCAAAGGAAACAACCAATCACAGACCACTTCATCAAGGCAAGCTGCTAAATCACTCAAGGAGAGATATTGATAGCTCACTTCATACTGAAGTCAATGCTGATGGTATCGTCTAGAAGGACGATGAAAGCACCACGATTAAACAACCTAGCTCAGAGACACAATGCAACCAAGACCATCCACCTGAGCTACAAATATTCTCCACTACCCTTTTCCTATTTGTTGAACATAACTAGTTTTCACTTTTCCCCTGTTCCGTAAACTTCTCTATATTCTTAAAGTCATCAGAAGTTGTAAAGAATTCATGGCATAAAATTTGACTTGTTTTACTGTGAAAAAATGTATTTCTCTTTGCTTAGATATGAAGTAGACTACTTTGAACTATTAAAGCTCTAATGATTTGGTCTGTCACTTTAAAATTTTATTATATACAGGTTTATGGTAAACAGGTATAATTCCAGCCCAGCTATGTAATCTTTCTAATAGTAATTTTTTTTACAAAATTCATAGTCTATGACTTTTAGACTTCATTCTTTAACTATTGTCGGTACTAGTAAAGAATACACTGCTTCGGAGAAATTATACATTTATCAACTAGTGACGTACTTTTGATGTAAGCTGCAAGTTTATTTTATCAATACCATACGTAATATTTTCGGTTATTATTCTCCTAATGTAGGAAAGAGGTGGTGTACAAGAACTTATAAGGTCTTTTACAGCATAAGTCCAAATTTCCTGTATTTGATTATAACTGTAGACTTAACTGTCATTGAATCTGAATCACCTAATTTCTATCTACATTTCTGTCTTTTGTACTCTTTGTCCACTTTCATTTAACTTTATGTTACGCAGTACCAACCAGTGGTTTTCTTCACATCACAGCCACTTTGTGGTATCAAACACTTCATCGATTATTCAGGATTAGTCACAATTAAACTATTTTCTAAGCAATATCATTTCAATGTATTTCGTTAATATCTCATCGCCTTTTATCTCCCTGACTCCACTGTATCTTCAAATTTGCTTCACATTTTAGATATATAAATTCTTGATCCCTAGTTTATCTTACACTATTTACATTATCATCTTTGTTAGCTCAAATTTCACGATTAATGATTGCCAGCTACCTAATATATTTGTGCAATACTGATTTATTTCTTAGACGCTGTCGATTGGCTGAGGACTGGAAGTACAACAAATAAACAAACCCCTGAATCCTGAGGTTTTTCTTTTTGCTTATTTATGTGATTTAACTGTGTCTTAATGGATAGCTGCTACCTTGACGTGGTGGTCGGACTTGTAGATCATAGTGATTCAACAAGCTACACTGGCTATAATGCTTTTTTTTCGAGGTTCCACCATACCAGAAAGGTCTGTTGGATGGTGGTGAGACGTAAAGCGATTCCCGTTAAACGGAAAATTAGTTCGCTGTCATAGAGGTCAGGAGTTGAAGCGGTACGTTTGCCCGGATGGTGACAGCAGTAAGGTGTTTCGCTTAGATTATTAACAGTTCCACACTGATGCTGCCTTCCTTGTATGTATGGGGGCTTAGAAAATGCTGAGCTTAAAAATACCCTTCCCCTCGTACTACTCAACATACTGGTGTCCGTATATAAGATCAAATACAGACTGGAGAAAAGCAAACTAAAATATCAAATTTCTAAAAAGACTACGTGTGAGTGGCTCCAAGTAGATGTCCTAGATAGCTCTCACAATCAGCCCTCACGCTTTTAATAGTATACGTAACCCAATAAAAAATATCTTACAATCCTTAACTTTGTCTCCTCCATTTTTGCTACATTTCCTGACACTAATATTCATCCTCTGTCAACTTCCCCAACCTTCCACTCTGCCACCATTGAAAATGATTTAAGCTAGTGAATCACTGTTTCCAATATTCTGAAATCCCACTGTTTATTTCACATTCAAGCTTTCAACTTCTAAACCCTATTCTAATTCATACAACAGTTGTTTCTTGGCAGAACTTCAGGATCTTGAGCTGTGGATGTGTCGTGTTTTTGAGGCTAGTTTGTGGGACCCAGTTTCGATGATTGACTTGACTTCACCAGGCCAGTTCAATGAATCTTCGAAATTAACTTTATGTATATTCACACATTCAATGAATAGCCCTCACAGACATTGAGTTTTCCAACAGCAAGTGCACCTCATGACCGGATGCTAGTCTACAGTTGTCTTCATGCTGTTCGAATGAATGGATCCCTAAGAACTGAGAAGGTTCATGATACATTCCGATGCTTGCTCATAATCTAGACCGACGCGCTCACTGACTGTAGTTTGAATGATACAATGAATGAACTCTACCAAAAGCTGTCAATTTTGCTACAGGAAGTAAAACATTCAGGAAACGTTTAAATGATAAGTGACTTTAGTGCTTAGGTAGGAAACGTCAGCCAGTCGAAAAGGCACCTAAGAGATATCTGCTGAACCCCATGCCAGTGAACCAACAACAGTGGTCGTCTTCTGAAATGTTTTCTGGCAACCACATGCGTCCGACCAGTACTAACTTCTAGCATAAGGAGAGAAACTGGTAGACTCCAACCCCATGAGCATCAAACCAACGATGGATACCGAAGGATCATATTGTCATGAGCCATTTTCATGGGGTATCGGTGGAGGATTGTCACTATTTCTTGATTACCTGCTTGGACCCAGGTCACTCGGTAGTATGTCTGTGCCTTAGTAGTTGCAGGAAACAGACAGTAGTGAAGTTGTTGTGCCCCACTGGAAGATGAAAAAATAAAGTATGTTTTTAGAGAGGAAATAGAGGAACATTTATGTAAAAGCAGCAGCATTTCTCAGGATTTTAAAGCCTGGAGTACTATTCAGTTTGCTGCAGAAACAGCAGTAAAGACAGTTGATTACTTCCATTCTGAGGTTAACAGAATTCACTGAGTTTCCACAACTTCATCCTAACTTAATGATGTGAGGACACTATCTTCAGCTAGGTTTGACCACAATGAACAGTAAAAGTAAGTTAAAAGTAAATCAATGGAGATTCTTCACAATAATCAAGAACACTGATCAATTTTGCAAAGGAAAGAGATAAGGAATGGATCAGCATTCGATAATACCCAGTAATTATTTAGGATTGTTAACGATATCGTCATAAAGAAGAATATAGTAAGTGAAAACATCACCGAAACGAATGGGACTCTAATACCCTCACAGAATAGGTAGGCAGAAAGTAGGCGGAACACCGTGAAGCAGAGTTCATCTGGTCCACAGCCATGCTTCAGTTACTTAGCGTCTTACCGAAACCTCAGTTTGAAGTAGATATTAGTTCTCTGGATCTCATTAAATTTGACAGGGTTGTTCATAAAACGAAACAATAAAAAGCAGCAAAATTCATCGAGAAAAGAGACAGGAAATTACTTGGTAGAGAAACGAAGGTACTAGTCAGTGTATGGAAATCAGAATTATTTCGATTAGACTAGTCTACCTTACTGATTATTTTGGTTTATAAGAAGGAATAAAAGACTTCATGTGGAAACCATAGGGAGGGTCAGTGTCATTAATATCGTGTTAAAGATCCTTGAGTCAACAGTTATCCTACGCCTCACTGGAGATCAAAAACAACAAACTCATGTAAACTGGGCTATTCAAAGCTCTCTGTTCAAATTCTAGTTATGATTATTGTCTATGCGTTATTTCGGATATATTTTTCGAGTATTTAGATTTTATGAAGTAAATCAACTAATCTAGTCGTTTATTTCGTCGAAGATGACATCAATACTACAGTGTCATGAAGAAGTTAAAATGAAAGTTAGCTGTGGAACGAAATATTCACATAGAATATATATATATATATATATATAGTTATTTTTGTAGAATGCCTTCAAGAATCAGATGTTTGTCTATGAAAAATGTGAATTTCTACAGTAGTTAGTAGAAACTTACATCAACATTATTATGCTTGTTTTTACCTCACATCACTTAAACTAATAAGATTTCTGGGCAGTAGCCGGAGTATTTTAACATATGACTAGTGTTTGTGACTCAGAATGGATTCATCCATCCTGGGCTCAATTTTTGAGTTCAGAATAATTCAGAACTGGTAGATATCAGCTGCACTTGAGTTCAATATTAATGTCACGTTGTAAAAACCAATTTTAGAATCTTCTTTGACTTGTATATTGTTAAATCTCTTACACTTTGCACAAGACTGCTCAGTGAATAAATACACGAGAAGACAACATGATCAAACAATGTTTACTTAAGGGTTATGGTCACTTTGTAAATAAGTTAAAAGAAAGGAAATGATTTTATAATCTGCAGGTCATATAATCACGATAACACTTAAGTAAGTGTTTATTTGTGCTTGAAAGTTACTTATCTATCCTCATTCTTTGTCTAAAACACATACACCATCCATTTTGAAACTCGTATAGCTGTCATACAGTTACCAAACTCTGAGCATATGATCTCTAAATTCCAGAATGGTATAAAATAACCAGTGGTAGTTATCCTTGCAAGTGAATTGAGAATGATACAATTGCGAACTTCGTTGTTAATCATTGGTGTACTAGCCTACTCGCCTGTCTGGACACTGGAAATAGCAGTCAACAAGACTAAAGTATTCGACAATACAACTGAAACACACTATAATGTAACTCAACCGAAAACACACTCATATTTACTAAAAGCACGTTATATGGAGCTAAACTGTTTTCGATTATATAGTGAAAGAAGTCAACAAGGTTATTGGTCTGATATGTGTGACAGTAATGAGGCATTATCGCCATATCAAGTGTGGACTACAAAATCTGTATGTGCACCTGGAGTCATAAAATTCACAATTCTAAACTATTGGTTGATATATGAGTAAGTCTTTGCCTGTCTGATAGAGTTGCAAACATTTTCTGAAACATACAGCAGATTTTGCATGTGGTAAAATTATCGTCCTCTGATGGAACGAGCTGTGACATCTAAATATTACCAGCTATTATGATAAAATTGTTTAGTGATCCAAATAATCTACAGAAATCTCCTACATCAGCTTAACCCCTCCTTTGACCAATGTACCAAGTAAGATGATATAGTTGAGGAGTTTTTAAAGATTTCTGCCAACAGTTAGCATAAATTCATCTCAGAAGCAAACAGGTTTAGTAAGTATAATGAAAAAGAAGAGAAAGAACATGCTGAAAATAATTAGTGAGAAAACTAAATGTTAGATATTCTCCAGATTTTTTACAATGAAATGTTGACATCAGTAAGAGGTTTCATTTAGGATTACTAGATCACTTTTTGAAATGTTCTACTCGTGTGTTCAGTAAGCCTGTTATGAAATTTGAAGTGTGTCTTTCGTTCTGTTTCGCATCTGTTTACAAGACTACAAGGTTTTTTGTGGAATTTATCTTATTGGCAGCCTTAATTAGTGTATTTTTATCAGTTAAAGTTATTTATAATACTATTTTTCAAAAAGGAATTACCATCATCCATGGTGCATTGTGTCGACTGTGAGGAATTTCAACCTAGGAAAGTTGTATTATTATTCATATCTGAGTAGGTTAGCAGTATGCTTAAGAACTGCACAGAGGAAATAAGATACGTTGCTGAATAAACTAATGTATACTAAACACACACCAAACCTGCCCTGATAATCGCTTTTTATTTTACAACACCTGTCGGGATGTCTCTGCTTACACAGTTCTTAGCTGTTAGCTAGTTGAAATCAAATATATCTAACTAATCCATATCTCTTACTAAATAATCCAAACTTGACACTAAATTAGGAATCCTCATAGCACTTGATAGTGAATAAGAAGTTTATTGCTCAAATACACACCAAGCGCTTGAGTGGAATGGAAAACATATCAGCCTGTTAACAGTACAACTGAAACTATTCCGCGCTAAAATCTTACATGGATTTAGATCAACGTTGGATCATACACCTTGATGAGCTCATGTAGCATAATTTTGTCGAATCCAGGTCATCCTTATCTGTGATGAAGCCTCACCCAGAAGATAGTAAATGAAGTATAAACTACAGGATTTTCGAGGCATCTCAGAAGTTCACCCGCATGTGAGTTTAGACATCAAACGCAGCAAGTAAATTTATGACGACAGTTTTTATTATTAAACCTTCTTATTATATGATTTACTTCTTAAGACACCTAAGCTTTAACTCTGTTGAGAGAAGTTGAAATTCTGTTCGAGGCATACTGTCCATCTCACACCTGTATCTAATTAGAGTAGTCATGTTGCACACCAGTTAGGGATAGCACATTAAATGCAACACACTTCAGGTTGTTTGCCGAGATTCCTTCTTATGCATGTTAAGTGGTGTTCTTACCTGTTCCCCCATACACCCATAGGAATTTATAGAAATGTTTGAAATAGGTAAACTGCCTATCTGAAGGAATAGAAAAGGTTACGTGCCTATGAATATGTTCCAAGTATTTCGTTGCAACATTCCTGGTTTGCTTAATCGTGGTGCTTTCATCGTCTTTCTAGACGACATCAGCACTAACTGCAGTATGAAGTGAGCTGTCAGTATCTCTCCATGAGTGATTTAGTAGCTTGCCCTGGTGAACTGGTTTGTGACTGGTTGGTTCCTTTGATTGTGGTGTCATTGACTGTATAAATTTTCCTGTTGGCTGTCCGTCTGCTTGACCTCTGACCTTTCTGTCGTTTGTCACTCTTCCCATTAGTTGATAGATTTGGTGTATGTCTGTACATCTATTGATTGCTGACTGACCTGAATGCCATACTTCTAGAAATTCTCTGATATTCTTTGTGTTTTCTCTGTCCAAGATTTCTACATTATCAAAATTGAGTTCATGTCCATAGTCATCCACATACATTGAATTGAGTGATCAGATGTCGCGACGTTTACTAGCCAATTTGTGTTCACGCAAATGATAAAGGCCAAGAGGGCAACTACTTTGTCCAATGTAGTGTTGACCACAGTTATTGCAGTTGATTTAGTAAATGATATTCGGTTTGTTTTTGGTTGTTGTGTCTTTTGGTCTGAGTAATAGGGTTTGGAGAGAATTTGTTGGTTTATGAGCCACACCAATTCCAAGTGGTCTCAGTAATCTAATCTTGATTTCTGATATATTCTTCATGTACCGTAGGATGATGCGTTTGTTGATTTCCGTCGATGACTTTAGAGTTGATGATGTATGGGATAGGTATCTTCTGATAAAGTTTCGTGGATAGCCGTTCTTCCCTTAGGGTTGACATTAAGTAATTTTCTTCATTTCTCTGTGAAGTTGTTCTATTACAGTGTGTTCTCGTCCTTTTGAATAGAGCCAGCAGGCAGATAATTCTATGCGTTGTTGGGTTGTTGCTACCGTAGCTGAGGAATTTATTGATGTGTGTTAACTTCCTGTACACTCGGGATTTCGGTTTTCCAGAATTTGTCCTACTGACTAAAACATCCAGGAATGGTAGTTAGTTGTTTGACTCCTTCTCCATTGAAAGATGATGAAAGCTCTATTATTAAAGAATCCAGCTTAGAGAACAAAATACAACCAAGACCATCTACCTGAGCTACAAATATTCTCCATCATTTCGAACTCTGTTTCAGTTAAGTGTACAATAAAAACTTCCTAATTTGAAAACGATTATCAATTTTGTTGTGGTGCGTAGTTATATTTTTCAGATACAAACAAGAAGTCCTAGATCTTTGGGAAATATGACTAAACTTCTTGATATCAGATTGGTTGGAGAGACACAATCAATGGTAAATGCCCTTCTAGGAAAGTTTGGAAATGATCAAACACACTGTGAATTTACATACGTAGACGTTAAAATACACCTTCTGTTACCTTACCGCTTTGCTTCTTTCCCAAGACATTTCCTACCAACATGAGTGGCATTGGAGGGTTTTATCCAAGTACACACATACGTATAACCAAGTAATATCAAAATTTGAAGAAAAACGGGTTGAATTGCTCAACCTATCTTGGTAAATGGGCTGTTGAGTGGATGCTTCCATACTATCTGAATATTCATCATCTTGTAACTGACTTGGGGTTAGTAGTAGAATCCACAAAGCATATTTTATACTATTTAAAACTCGTCAGCTTGATGTACTTTAATCACAGAGAGCGTTGATATTTCCACTGAGATATGAATTTAATATTTATGTTTTCAAGTGTCACGGTGTTATCCACTGGGCTATTGAAGTATGAGAACCACCTCTTGGGTAATGGGTATCAGTTGTTATATACTGATACTTATAATTTTCTATTACTCCACTGGTTCGAACTGTTTCTTCACTTTATTAAATCTCAGACATTGAGAATATGCTACATTAAGTAGAAGATAGATGGATCTGTTTTTCACGTTTTCATCTTCATATGAAATTATTGTTATTATTTTGAAAAGATTTCCACCTTCTAAATTCCTAACATATTATTGTAAATTACATATACTTCATTTATTTTTTTAATGGTAAGAAAGCAATATCCTTGGGAAATTAGTTCACTGAGAAATAATTAGATTTATTATAACTGACATATTATTAAGATTGAAAACTTATCATTGTATGTAAATATTTATTACAAATATAATTCAGGTTGATATTCATCACCAACAAGCATCAGTTGAAGAAACAATGGAACCATTAAGAAACTGTTTTGTCTTAGTGTGGAGCACATCAACACTGCGTACCCAAGACCCCCTCCCAGGGCTTGAACCCATGACCTTCAGGTTCCGCAACTGGTTGTTCACCAATGAGTTATTAGGTCGGAATCCAATGATCCATATTTCCTACTTATGTCGCTTCACGATAAAGCACGATTTCCATCCAATGTCATCACTGAGTAACTGTCTTCATATTCGACTTCGTCAGTACAAGCGATGTCAGCCCATGATGAATATCAACCTGAAGTCGATCGATAATACCTCACCAAATGGAGAATATATTCATTTGTCATGAATTAATTCTTCAACTGATCGTTTAATGAACTTCGATTTAATAAGATATTTTATTTTTTGAAAAGGCGACCTAACTTCTATGGTCAGTACATCTTCCTTGGTCCTGGTCAGTGTATTTTTAATATACACCAATATGGAATGCAATCAGTTGGTTCTTTACTAAAATGTAAAAAATCTCCATATTATTCCACTCTTCACTGTAATTATCCAATGCAACCATGGAGACAGTATCATGGGTTATCAGAAAATGAAGCATATAAAATGTCAATCAAGGAACTACTAACTAACAGATCCACTTCCATGAGTCAGTCTTTGCAGCAACAACCATTGATGGGAAATGTCAAATTGTCTGACTTAACGCAAGGCAGTGTTAATGGAATGTCGACTTCAGCTTAAAATCTTGTACTGCAGAAATTGAACCTTTGATTTATTGTTTGTTTAATGTATTTTTGACTAGTTAGTGACTGACAGAGTTGATGTTTAATATATCATTTCAATAAATCAAGCATCTTGCTTCTTAATATTGATCGTGAAGTAATGTTGATAGCTTTGAATAAAGTAAACGATGACTTTGTTGTAAATCATATTCGAAGAAAATAGTGGAAAGTAGTTTGATGTATGGATTGCATATTTTGTTAGAAGCGGAAATATTCATGCTGGAGTTCACAGACTAAATGAGTATGATATACTTCAAGTAACACATGTACTTCATTCGTTTCGATAAAGACTTGAAAAATTGAAAGTCGTATTCTTGAATCCGATCATTTAAGCCAGGATTTTAATCTTCACCTAAAGTTCCATAAAGTTGTCCAATTTTACAAGTAGTCACCTTATAAACAAAAATCATGTGACCTAAATCCATCATTTAATCTACATTAGGTAGTTGGTCAAGTTGCCTTACTCTTATGCACCCAATGTTTCCAGTATGTAGTTTACAGTACACGTGTATTTAGTAAGCTTATAATCATTTCCAAACGCTTTATATCGCCTGAGTTAAACACAACAGTTTGTTCCATAGCTATTTCTAATATATATGTCACAAAGAATCCATTCCTTACTTTAACTTGGTGTCATCGCTCCTGGAAAAGACAAAGTAATGACTGATAGTCAGAAGTTGATCTGCTATTTGAATATGGAAAACTCTCATGAGGATGCCATAAAACTATGATTTCAAAATGAGAGTTAAATTACCTACTCAAGTTTGTAATAAAAATAGTACATTTTGAACTTGAAAGGATTACTTGTCAGCACTCACATCAGACGCCACTGTTTTGGGATGAATAACTGGATATTTATGGTAACTGTCGACTTTCAAAGGGCCTTCGATAGAGGCGTCGACTGAGAAGTAATTTGGTAGGCAGCTGCTTCAACACCACGGTTCCAGTGCCACAAACCCTTATCAAACTCATTCAACAACTATATCCTATGCCATATGATGCTACATGCCAAGTGATTCACAACGGAAAGCTCACTTCACTGATTCCTTTGAAGTGAAGACAGTAAGGAGTAAGACAGGACTGCCACCTACTTACTTTCACCCATCATCTTCCTCATGGTGGTCGATTGGACTGGACTGGACAGGACTGGACTGAACTGGACTGGAGTGAACTGGATCATGCAAGAAACAGTGAGGAGCTGTGAGAAAATGGGCATGCGCTAACTGGACCGATGACGAGACCCGAGAAGAAGATGTGGATTTCACCGACAATGAGGATTTGTGTCTAATGTCTTATGTCGGACACAATCGAAGATCCATAGGCGAAAACTAACAAGTTGGCAGAAGAGGCAGTGAAGACGTGACTTCAAGTGAACTTCAAGAAGACAGGCGGTGAAGATACGCAACCATCAACAGCAACAGCAACAACAACAACAACAACAAGTATCAATCACCATGAACGGGAGAAATCTGAAGAAGGTTGTCTTTTCCACCTACCTACGTACCCAGGCAACATCGTCACACATACAGACGGCACAGGCACAGATGAGGACGTCGAAGTCAGGATCACAAAGACAGCAAGATAAGCCTTGCTGCATTAATCTGAAATCAGTGTGGAGGTCTACTACATTACACTCAGCATAAAGTGTGAACAACATCCGGATTTTCATCACTAACGCCAGTCAAGTGAGTGCTTCTATGTGATGGTTGAGAGACTTGGCGCGTTAAGAAAAGTGTTTCCAACAAACTAGAGACATACATAAACACTAGCTGCCTACATTCACTCGATATTGAAGATCAGATAGCCTGAATAATAAGAACGGAAAACAAGGAACTCTGGCTGACAACAAACCAACCAACAGTCTATCACCCACAAACATGCGGAAGAATGTGGAGATGGATTGGATTAGACATACACTGAGAGGACCATTTGGAGATATCACGCATCAGCGCAAACCCTGGAGTGGCATCCGTGTGGGAAACGATGAGTTAAGTGTCCGAGGTGAGAGTGACATGGAGGAGGTGGTGTGAGGAAGAAATGAAAGGTTGTGGGGAATAGTGGAGTCAGGTTGAGCAGACTGCAGAGAAGAGAGTGAAATGGCGATGTGTTACTGAAGTCTTATATTTTCCTGGGAACCCAGGGGACAAGTAATAATAATAGTAAATCTCCGTCTGTTCAGGTTTCCAAATTAGACTTAAGACTCCATGCAGTTATGGCCGTAAAATAATATATGGAAACTTCATTATACATTCATCGTTACACCAGTAAATACTGGTTGAATGATTATGAGTGTAGAGATTGCATACGCATATGAATAATGATATTACATTTCTGCATAATGTCGTTCTCTGTTTTTGCCTTTAACTCAGCTTATAGCTAGATCATTATTGGAAGTTTGTGTCTATTTAGATCATTTTGATTTTTAAATAGACGTTTCTTAACTCAACTTTATCAGAATCCTTTTCCTTTTTAATCTGGTAATTTCGAATGAGGCAAAAGCATGCAAAAAGCGAACGTCTTGACTGATTTGCAGTCGAAACTCACTTCAGAAGGATTACGATACATTTACATGCCAACTTCAATATGATCTTATGAAACAACTGACTGCAGTTTTTGCAGAGATGGATTTGAGTCGAAGCTCTCGCTTTTATCCGAAAGATCAAACATACTTAGCCTTTCTAACGCGTAAAATTCATCCAAAAGTTATGGAACTGAATAGATTACGAAGCTATCTTGATGCTTTGAGGGTAAATTAGCAATAGCTTTCATCCGCTTCTCTGGCTGTGCATCAAAAATAGCTTGTTAACAGCCATCTTCAGTTTTAAAATGAAAGGGAAAATTTATTAAATTTATAAGCTAGCAACATCAAATCAAAGGTGGACACATGTCTATCATTTTTCGCTAACACTTGTCGTTGAGAATAAACAGAAACGAATTGCACCACCCATGAGGTAATAACTTCGACTCATTAGTAAAGCAATATGTTGTTATAGATCTATGAGAACATAAATCACACAAGTGGATAGTTTGTAATTACTGCTTTTGAAGGTAAAAGCATCTAGCTTACTTATTCTACTGTTAAAGCACTAATAAAGATGATAAGTGGAATGTAGTCAAAATTAACAAGAAGCTTATAAAGTTTCACGACCTCATCTCGGTAGAATCAAACAGAATTATATGGAAATTCTAAAATAAAATCTTTGCTACTACGGTGAGTCATAGGCAGGAAATACGAAAGGACTAGATGATGGGCTGCCAATTGTCAGTAATTTACAAACATTTGAGACCATCGAAGAATAGTCTCAATAGGAATGACAGATATAAATAAAGTATTACAGAGGCTCCGTGATAATCTGCAAATACACGAGCTAACAAGTGACCTCCGAATTCGATTGTTTATCCTGTCAAAGTTCCTGAGGCCGTGGAAGACCCACACCCAAATAACACTGCTACGAAACAATAGTCAAGTGATGTACAAATCACTGAACGTCACTCTTCGAACAAAACTATAAGATTTTCACCAAGTAAAACCAATTTGACAACAAAGATTTATGTACTGAATACTGATTGGATGCATAGAATTGTTGTTATTCAAGTTAATTTCAGTATTGTAAAAATAAACAATTGAAAATATAAACAAACAAGTACTGCATAGAAATCCATCAAGACTAAAATCTTGAGTAAGATTTTTATCCCAAAATTTGCTTTGGTAGGATCATTCTACATGGATACAAAACTTGAATTTCCAACAATATTCTCCAAAACTGTCACCACTAAAAATAGTTTCGATCAAGGGACATCGTTTGTAGTGAAAAGTTCAAAATATCACTTTCGACAACAATGAGGCTTAGGATGCAAATCGTTTGAACAACCTTCAGATGATCGGCTTCTCCAAAAACCAAAAGAAAACTATCAAAGACGAATAGTTGCATATCAACTGAAGAGTAAACAAGCTACGATATCAGTCTTTTGCTGGCTTCATTCCAACAACAAAATTCGGTTAAGTAGTAGCATTAAAACACAGACAGATCTTACAATGGGTGCCACAACCTCGTCGCTAGGATAAACTGAACCAAGCTAATGCACTTGCTTAATTTAATACAACTGGCTCACATCATACTAAAGCACAAATCAGTTTGTTTGTTATCACCAAGATGTTAGTAATCCCTCTAGTCACAGCGTTTCAGTCACTGACGAATGGAGATGGGCGATTTCCTAAATGTTCGCTTCATTGACTTCAGATCTGCTTCCGTCTTGTCCGATATCATTCCTCTATTCACACATCTTATCGAGACATACTACAACCGTCGCAACTTCATTCAATCTAATCATCACATTTCAGTCAGTCAACTCATCAAAAACATCCAAATTGAATCGTATTACTGACTGATTGACCTATCGACATTGTTGAAAGCATATGAGGGAGTGTATGGAAGGACGCTGGAATGATCAACGTGGCACAAATTCGTCATGAAATCACACCCCGACTAGTTTGTTTAGAATTCAATGTGACAGTCTGATTGACCACACTTCTCAAACCGCCATATCTCTGAATTGAAGGGACTACTATTCGCATTTTCGCACTATTCGCCAATTAGGTGTGTCACACAGTGAAACAGTATTATTTAAGCAATATTGTTTCACTGTGACACATGTGATAAACAGAATGAAATGGAATTACGATGTATCACAGTGCCCATGTTTGTTCCTATATTTGCTACTGGTCTCTTTTTAGCGTAAGTTGACAGATGGTAAACTTCACTACATTGTTTGGACAAGATCAGGTTTGTCGTGTTTGTCATCTGCATATATTACATTCGAGGGTACTGAATACTGGTTGTGACAACAGAATGACACATATAACGGTCGAAGGTGCTGAATAGTTTTCTGTTTCCATAGTGTAATAGGCAAGTGAGTTAGAAATGACGTTAAGTGGCACGTAGCTTTGTATGGTGATGTCATAATCTTCACAATGACTTGATAAACACCATTTATTTCTACTATACAAAATTGCGTACAATAATTATGTCGTTACCGGGTCATCAAGTGTGACACATTTCATCTTTTCTAAGAATTATGATTGGAAATAAACATAATCAATTATTCTAGTAACTACATAACTTTGTTTTCTCACAGTGGTATAAATTAGCACACACGGTACATTTTCTCATGCAAACAGAAGAAATAATGCCGTCTAGTCCACCTTCACGAATCGCTTTACTGCATCATACATACGTACTTCTGTTTGTCATAACAGCTTATGCAGCTAAACTACAAATTGATAACAGTGTAACACCAAGAAGGTATACAACTACCAGACTAGAGTGTTTGCGGTTATACAGTGAAAGACGTCAACAAGGCTTCTGGTCTGATTTATGCAACAGCAATGAGTTACTGTCGCCGTTCCAAATATGGACCACAAAGTCAATTTGTGCACCTGGATATTTGTGGTATAAAAGCCCACGATATTGGTTGATATATGAGTAAGTTTGTGTGTATGTTTAACTTATATGTTCAATATGAAATGCTTATCATTCCATTTGGATAATTCCAACTCTAAGCAATCGACAACGATATTTTTTCACAGCAGTCGATAGTAGTCAAAAATAAATTCACTCACTATCTCCTAGGGGCGTTAACCGATGATGGACGGTCACTGAAATTTCAATTAAGGATTAGTTTTGCCTTCCTATTTAATCAAGGGGTAGAGGAGAAAAGAGAAAAAGTGAAGTAAGAGGCAGCAGATACAGCTGCCTGGCTAACTGCGGTCACTTTAGCATTGATATTCACTCCACAGTTCTAGTTAGCAGGTGCATGATGGTGAAGAAGGCTGAGCAGCACAAAACGTCCGGTGACGTATATCCTAGTGAATGTGTACTAACCAGATGATTAATACCACCACGAAAAGGCAAGTAGAACTTTATGGAGCACTTGGAAGTAAAGTATTGATTCTAGAACGTACGATGTCTTAAGAAAGAGGACATTGGCACATCAGTAAATGCTGATAACGGGAAAAACGTAACCCCTTGATGAATGGTCAAGATTTCTAAGGAACACCACAATAGTAAAGACTTCTGACTCAGGATTAGAATAGTGATATTTCGTTTCCTGTTCCTGGATATTTTATCACTAAGGCACACAACTTGACCAGCATTAACTTCATAAATGAGAGAAGTGCTTTCGAGTTGCAAGTTTCTCACATGTACGTTTTACGCAAACTGAAAATGCTTCACTGCTTTTTCGAGTAGATGTTGATGAAATGCAATAGCATGGTGGTGAAACATCCGAGAGTAAACCCCAAAGCTGACAGGGCACTAAATTATAACCATAATCTAGTCACATCAACAATAAAGACTCTACCGTCAAATTTGGGATATACATACTTGAACAACCACATTTTTTCTCTTTCATTTCTTTTCTACACAGACAACCTCACTTTTTCGGTGCATACTTGCTCCTCAAGCCTGGTGAATGCATACGAAATGTGGGACGATATGGACTACGATCAACCGCCTCTGTGTTAGACTGTTCACAATTTTTTGCATTCGGATACCTCCCTTCGTTGACTTGTCACTATCCTCAACAACCCTGGAGACAGTACACAAATAACATTGGTAGCTTTACACTGGGGCAATTACCACTTGGTCAAACTCCAGTGATATCCCAACCAGCGCTATCGGAAAAACCCTTTAATTTGTCGGATTTAGAAAGAAAGAGTTCAAATGCAAACCAATGAGAGTGAAGTCTTAATACAGTATTCATTTTCTGTAATTAAAAACTATGTTTTTAGTAGTATAAAAGGGTTTTATAATTCACTGCTTCACACCTTATATCGATAGCAGTAAATAATCATGAAAAGTATCTGGCTGTCAATGTGTCTGGTTGATTTTCGAATTTAATATGGTTCAGCAGTGAACTGTTACGATTAGGTCGAAGGGACTCGAATTTATCTTAAAAGGTATCATAAAGTTCAAAAGCGAAACCGGGTGTTTCACTTACTGACTGTTATGTATCAATGGTAAGCTGAGTATGTTAGCTCATATGATCTCCAACATCATCAAGTTGCCTTGTAGACTACCTTCTTCACATATATATTTGGCTCATTTGCTTCGATATATGAATGCGTACTTTGATATTCAACGGTGGGTGAATCCCTACAAACAGATTCACGTATTCAAATTTGCAGTGCTTTCTAAGTAGTTAATTGAAGAGCTCCATATGAGTGCTTTCTTGTCAAGCTGTTGATCTGAGGATGATTTTTACTACTTATCAGCACCAATCACCTATATGCAAACATCTCAGGGTATTGGTTATATACCCTACATGATATAATACTTTTCGGAAAGATTTCCTTCGGAATTTAAAACATAGTCATCTGCCAAGTATGAAATGTCGGGAGTCTGATAAGTACTGTTCCACATAAATAACTGTCAACACATAAAGTGGAAAGGGCAAAAAATAGGAAAGGTGGGGAGATAGATTTTAAGAAGGATGCGTTATTACAGCTTGCTTTCTTGATTATTTTACAATCATATACTCCATCATACATAAAGTTATGGGGTCGGGCTTATAGTTAGACCTAGATTTCATAATGGAAAATGTGTCTAAGTGAGAATGTAACTAAAACATCTGCAGTAGCAAATAGCTCATCAATTTGAAGAAGATATGTCAGATAACTACTAATAAATTATTGACTTCAAACAGAAAAATAATATAGACCAACAACCTCACTGCTTGTAAGACTTCAAATAATAGCTAGTTCCTAAGTTAGGAGCTATTCTATCTCAGTATGTGTCTCCAAATAGAGAATTACAACGATGAGCATCATGAGACGGAGAGAAATATCAGCAAAAGGTTAAAATCTTATAAGAAATGTCTTATTGCAAATACAATTCATGTTCGTTTTCTGAGTTACACTTTATCTTCTTTCTTCACAATGTATTCCTCAATCTAGAGCATTCACTGACCGATTTCCTGCTCTTCTGAATTTCTCCGAAAGTACTACGCTGCATATTACTTAAATACAAACATACAGGTAGTATATATCATAATAATCTCTCATCATTTCTCTAATCATGCGGATTGTTTCACAATTTTCTTCTTCTGTTATGTCTACGCTTTCGTTTCTGGATAGCACTATACACATAGCTTAGGTTAGCTAACATTCGCATGTTTCCGTTTGCTTCCTTTCCTTATCTTGTAAACTGTATCTCACCTCTTGGTGACTGGTAACAACCCTTCCAAATTTGGGAGAAGTTTTCCTGATCTTAGTCTGCCTCCTCTGGCGTACTTTGTTTCCTACCCCTTCTCTGATTTCTTCTTTGAACGGTCTCTGTGGCTGACCTTCTTTCTAATTAGACTTTTCTGCATCCACTCTTAGCTTAGCTTATCTTCTAGATTCCTGATAGCTTGACCTTCCTCAACTTTCAATCTCGTTGTATTCCATGTCTGTTACTGCAGCCAACCTTTATTATATATTATTATTCACACTTTTCTGCCATATATCACTAGGGAGGATTATTTCTTATTAGTCTTTTGTGTCGAAGCACAGTGGGAAGGTATGATAAATGGCGCTTCTATCTGCCAATTGCATCCCTTCTAGACTAACTATTCTTTCAACGTACCCTTATATTTCCTGAGAAACCATTTGTATCCTCTCGATACCAAGTGGCTGCAGGTTGGATCTAAGTTCTTTGCTCTTTAAACAGGGACCCTGGCTACCACTAGCTGCCTGTAGAAAGGTTTTTATAATGTCTACTGGCCAAAGCTCACCAACTACTGCAGATGGGATCGGCTGTCACGATAGGCGTATGCATCTACCATTTTTTATCAAACGACGCTTAGGATATGCTAGAACAAAACCTACCACTTCACTTCTCAAACAAGACCAGCACACACATGGTTTTAAAAGGTCTGTTGCCCTTGAGACACATGCATATGCTAACTGGGGGCACTCACGAATCATCTCATAATGCAACCATTCTGAAGCAACCGCCACTCAGCTACCATCATTATTTCTTGAGGTCAGAGTCCCATAGATATATAACTGTAGTCTTTCCTTCTACATGAATAATCTTTTATGACGGTAACTATTTCACACCTTTTCCTTCAGTTACAGCTGGTATCCAATTTTCCCAATATAGATAAAACCGCATAAGGTTTCAGTTCATATGTGAAACTAAACTCCAGAAAAGGAACAAAACAGCTGCAAGTTCCGCTGAGTTTCTACACAAGAACAAGTGAAGAACTGTAGGAACTATCACTTCTTCGGTAGCACCGTCATTCTTTATCTCTTCGGCTTATCTTCCAAAGTTAATTGCATGCTACTTGATCTTAGAAAGGCCACTATCTACCGCTTTGTAACCAAGACATTGGTGATCAGCCTATCACAGTAACCATAAGAGTCTCCATTTCCGATTAATAACCTTTCGTACTTTCTAACCAACTCTACGATATTGCATGCGTCTGTGTTAGATGATCTCAGTAACACAACCCCTGCTGCTTCATTACTGTCACTCATGTTGACTGGCCTTTACCTCGTGGCTATCGTTCCATTTTTCTGTGTTAACAACAACACCCAATTCTCTCAAAAAATCGGGGCCTAAGTTTGCTGTTTGGATTATGCCAATCACAGGAAAGCTGACTTCATACCATCCTTTTGTCACGATTCAGTCTGAAATTACATCAACTTCGAAAGTTTATCCGGCTGTCGTCTGAACTTTCAACGCCTATGGTCTTAAACTCTGATATTGTATCCGGCCTATCAGTAATACAGCCGCCTCAGTGTCAGCTAACCAATTCGAATATTCACCCTTAGTCTAGCGTACATCCCACTCCTATCTATTTCCACCACTACACTGAGTCATGTCGAAATGGAAAAACACAATCCTTAATTCAAAAAGTGGAGCAGTTTTCTTCTCTCTATTCAGTTTCCGTACCAGTTCCTGGTCTTTTGGTGAGTTAGCACTCGTTTCACCGACTGACAATTTTTTGAAGGGCAGCTGTCTGATGCAGCTTTTAGTTCACATGCTTCTCCCCTGACTAAACTCTACTGGCTCTATCGCAGCCACACTCATGCTCACAAACTGATTGGTCCCTTTTATCGATTCATTATAATTTATAGTTTGTACTGAGTTGATAATGTGTAACTGCTGGGTAATTATATGGTGGAACACTTTTCATGAACTTAGACAATAACAATTGCACCTGGGACTTTTCATGGAACATAGAAAGGGCTTAACCTACTAGACTGACAAACGTTCACACCAACATGTATAGGTATTCGTTCGATTCAAACTTCACACTCTTAGACCATTCCATAGCCTTCTATATGTTTGCCAAGCTGTCAAACTCCACCACTAACTGTTTCACCGTGGCTTCCAAAACAACTATCTAACAGAGACTTTTCAGATTGTTGTACGCCACCTTCATCTCAACTAGCAGCAATTTTAACAGCACTACAGTCTTTACCGTCTGACAGTACCATT